GTTCCCACCAGTTTGTTGTGGCTGGGCCACTTGTGGCCCACTTGTTGACGGATGTCCAGGGACCCCAACATCCGCTGTGTGCCTTGTTAACCCGCAAGACGACCGATGCGGTATAAAATTTTTATTCGTTTCTTTCACCATATTGTATGGGTTGGCAGGGTTTTTTAATGGGGCCAGTTGCCAACCTGACCCCAACCCTCCTCCTTTCTCATCCGAGCTTGGGACCGGCAATGGCGGAGTTTTTTTTTTTTTAATTATTATTATTATTATTATTATTATTATTATTATTATTATTATTGCATACTTTACTCATTAAACATGGAACACAGTCAACTGAACATTCAAAAATGCATCAAAATGCATCAAAAATGTCATTGACTGATAATGATTGATATGGGTTCTTGCCAGCATCGTAGGTATCAACCAAGTACCTTCTTAAAATGTACGATGTTCCGAGTAGCGCAGTTTTTTGCAGTTCCACTGTTGTTATTGCAGGAAACTGCAATTTCCTTAATGTACTGTATAAAATTCTTGGACATGGTGCCAAGTGCCCCGATGACAATGGGTATCACTGTTACATGTTTCATCCATAATCATGTAGTTTCGATGGCCAGGTTGCAATATTTTGTTATTTTTTTTCTAGTTCTTTTTCTTCGATTCTGGCATCTCCCGATACAGCGATATCAATAAATTGTACGCTTCGGTTTTTGATGACTGTGATATCTGGCATGCCCCCTACCCCACCTCCGGCTCGCTGCGCGTCCTGGAAGAAGCTTCCCGCGGGGGCGCTCCCACATCCCCGGCGTGGCCCGTCGGGTTGAGCCTCGTTTGCTTCCGCCGCCCGGAGAAGCCCCTCCGCCCACCCTCACAGTCCGGTTGCGTGGACTGCGGCAAGCCCGCCCCTTCGCAGAGAGCCTCCGCCCTCCAGCAGCAGTTTTAAGCCCGAGCCCCGGCTGAGCTCCGGCATCCCAGCACCGGCAGCCAGCGGACGAGCTTACCTGAGGCATCCTCGGCAGAAAGGCAGGTAATGGCTGTTGCGCGCCGGCTACTTTGCAACCCAGCCCGGGCAGAAAGAGAAGGGGAAAGCGGACGCGATCGGGGATGGGGCGCCTCTAGCCTGGCACCGGCCTGAAATGCCCCGAGCCCCGTTTCCGGCTATGGAAAGTGGGAGAAACAAGCTTGCGATTCGGGTTTAGCGCTGCGCGTTGGCTGGGCGATGGGTGTGCATGTGTGCGAATTGCAGGCAAACAATGCGGGGTACCAGAGGTTGGGTTAGATTTCGCTTGAGCCACGATCTTACCTCCGAAAAGGGTGTGCTTCCTTTTCCTGTTTCAAAGCTGAGGACTGATGGCAGGTGCAATAAAAGAGCCCGATGCCCTTTCTTCTTCTTCTCTGGCCACCAACACCTGGCATAAGACTGTGGGTGTGCTAAAGGAAATAGAGTGAAAGAAAGCACACCATGGTTTAGATTTGCACAATTCATCCAGTCTTAAATGAATTGAATAGGGATGTGGGTGGTGGTGGTGGTGGTGGTGGTGGTGGTGGTGATGCAGTATGCAAAAACTAGAACAAGGCTGTCCAGGTCTTGTCCATGCTGGCTGAGGAATTCTGGGAGTTCAAGTCCGCAGGCTTTAAAGCTGCCAAGGTTGGACACTAATCTTAGCCCAATCTTATGCCAAACTGCTACTCTACAAATTGGTTGTAACTGCAACTCCCAGAACCAGCAGCTGGCCTTCATCAGTTTTAAGGGATTGCGCTCCCAAACCCCTCATTTATCTAAGCCAGGCATCAGACTGATGAAAGGCAGATATCCAGGTTCAGGGCCGGCTGAGGAATTCTGGGAGTCAAAGTCCACAAGTCTTAAAGTTGCCAAAGTTGGACACCTCTGATCTAGAGCCTCATTCAGAGCCACCTTAGATCTTCACTTGATCTGGTTAAGCATGTGAGGTAGACACATGCTTAACCAGAGCAACCAGTCACATGCTTAATCAGATCACAGCTTTGGCTACCTATCACAATGGAGGGAAATGAATGGAGTCTCTTCTGTCTGAGTGGGCCTTCTGGATTTAGTGGTAGAAAGTGGGATGGGTAGGAAATAAACTCTAACACATCTAAGGAGAAGAACAAAAGAAAAAAAGAGTTTGGGACTCTTAACCAGCCAAGCTGGTCCATTTATTGGCACAATCGCCAGATTCATCTCTATATGTCTTTTTCAAAATAGTATGCATTTTGTGTGTGTGTGTTTAAACTGTCACTGCCCCATAAGAACAGAAGGAGCCTCTACTCAAGGTGAGGTTTGTGCTTGGCCGAATGGCGGGGGCTGGCAGGTGGGTAGGGTGAGATGGGCAGTGTAGCCTTGTGTTCCCACATGCGGGCCAGATTACTTGAGGGCCATATCTGGCCCAGGAGCTGAAGCTTGAGGATGAGTGCAATATAAAAAATGCAAAAATACAAAGATTTATCTGTGGACCACCAAAATTTTCTCGCCGANTGCCAACCTGACCCCAACCCTCCTCCTTTCTCATCCGAGCTTGGGACCGGCAATGGCGGAGTTTTTTTTTTTTTAATTATTATTATTATTATTATTATTATTATTATTATTATTATTATTGCATACTTTACTCATTAAACATGGAACACAGTCAACTGAACATTCAAAAATGCATCAAAATGCATCAAAAATGTCATTGACTGATAATGATTGATATGGGTTCTTGCCAGCATCGTAGGTATCAACCAAGTACCTTCTTAAAATGTACGATGTTCCGAGTAGCGCAGTTTTTTGCAGTTCCACTGTTGTTATTGCAGGAAACTGCAATTTCCTTAATGTACTGTATAAAATTCTTGGACATGGTGCCAAGTGCCCCGATGACAATGGGTATCACTACTACATGTTTCATCCATAATCATGTAGTTTCGATGGCCAGGTTGCAATATTTTGTTATTTTTTTTCTAGTTCTTTTTCTTCGATTCTGGCATCTCCCGATACAGCGATATCAATAAATTGTACGCTTCGGTTTTTGATGACTGTGATATCTGGCATGCCCCCTACCCCACCTCCGGCTCGCTGCGCGTCCTGGAAGAAGCTTCCCGCGGGGGCGCTCCCACATCCCCGGCGTGGCCCGTCGGGTTGAGCCTCGTTTGCTTCCGCCGCCCGGAGAAGCCCCTCCGCCCACCCTCACAGTCCGGTTGCGTGGACTGCGGCAAGCCCGCCCCTTCGCAGAGAGCCTCCGCCCTCCAGCAGCAGTTTTAAGCCCGAGCCCCGGCTGAGCTCCGGCATCCCAGCACCGGCAGCCAGCGGACGAGCTTACCTGAGGCATCCTCGGCAGAAAGGCAGGTAATGGCTGTTGCGCGCCGGCTACTTTGCAACCCAGCCCGGGCAGAAAGAGAAGGGGAAAGCGGACGCGATCGGGGATGGGGCGCCTCTAGCCTGGCACCGGCCTGAAATGCCCCGAGCCCCGTTTCCGGCTATGGAAAGTGGGAGAAACAAGCTTGCGATTCGGGTTTAGCGCTGCGCGTTGGCTGGGCGATGGGTGTGCATGTGTGCGAATTGCAGGCAAACAATGCGGGGTACCAGAGGTTGGGTTAGATTTCGCTTGAGCCACGATCTTACCTCCGAAAAGGGTGTGCTTCCTTTTCCTGTTTCAAAGCTGAGGACTGATGGCAGGTGCAATAAAAGAGCCCGATGCCCTTTCTTCTTCTTCTCTGGCCACCAACACCTGGCATAAGACTGTGGGTGTGCTAAAGGAAATAGAGTGAAAGAAAGCACACCATGGTTTAGATTTGCACAATTCATCCAGTCTTAAATGAATTGAATAGGGATGTGGGTGGTGGTGGTGGTGATGCAGTATGCAAAAACTAGAACAAGGCTGTCCAGGTCTTGTCCATGCTGGCTGAGGAATTCTGGGAGTTCAAGTCCGCAGGCTTTAAAGCTGCCAAGGTTGGACACTAATCTTAGCCCAATCTTATGCCAAACTGCTACTCTACAAATTGGTTGTAACTGCAACTCCCAGAACCAGCAGCTGGCCTTCATCAGTTTTAAGGGATTGCGCTCCCAAACCCCTCATTTATCTAAGCCAGGCATCAGACTGATGAAAGGCAGATATCCAGGTTCAGGGCCGGCTGAGGAATTCTGGGAGTCAAAGTCCACAAGTCTTAAAGTTGCCAAAGTTGGACACCTCTGATCTAGAGCCTCATTCAGAGCCACCTTAGATCTTCACTTGATCTGGTTAAGCATGTGAGGTAGACACATGCTTAACCAGAGCAACCAGTCACATGCTTAATCAGATCACAGCTTTGGCTACCTATCACAATGGAGGGAAATGAATGGAGTCTCTTCTGTCTGAGTGGGCCTTCTGGATTTAGTGGTAGAAAGTGGGATGGGTAGGAAATAAACTCTAACACATCTAAGGAGAAGAACAAAAGAAAAAAAGAGTTTGGGACTCTTAACCAGCCAAGCTGGTCCATTTATTGGCACAATCGCCAGATTCATCTCTATATGTCTTTTTCAAAATAGTATGCATTTTGTGTGTGTGTGTTTAAACTGTCACTGCCCCATAAGAACAGAAGGAGCCTCTACTCAAGGTGAGGTTTGTGCTTGGCCGAATGGCGGGGGCTGGCAGGTGGGTAGGGTGAGATGGGCAGTGTAGCCTTGTGTTCCCACATGCGGGCCAGATTACTTGAGGGCCATATCTGGCCCAGGAGCTGAAGCTTGAGGATGAGTGCAATATAAAAAATGCAAAAATACAAAGATTTATCTGTGGACCACCAAAATTTTCTCGCCGACCACCAGTGGTCTGTGGTTGGTGACTACTGGTTCAGAGTATATTTATTTGTTTGTTTATTTAGTTTATTCCAACTATTACTTTATAAGTAACTCAAAGCAGTGAAGGTAGATAACATTCCTTCTTCCTCCTCTTTTCCCCTGTGAGGTGGGTTGGGCTGGACCAGCTCCAAAGTCACCCAGCCAACTTTTGTGCCTAAGGCAGTACTAGAACTCATTGTTTCCTGGTGATTGGCCCAAAGTCACCCCGTTGCCTTTCATGCCTAAGATGGGACTAGAACTCACCTTCTCCTGGTTTCTAACCTGATGCCTTAACCACTAGACCAAACTGGTTGTGAGAAGGGTGGGTCTCCAAAAGGCATCTTTCATCCCTGGAAGAAATATGATCCTGTATTTCCTGTAAGTGTGACTTACATTGACTGTCCATAGGACTGATGGAATGTCTTCTCCAAATCCTTTTACAACTGGCCCAATGACTTCAGATTACAAAATAAATCAATTCAGGAATGACAGCCTTAATCATATTCTATTATAGTCAGTTAGTGTCCAAAAAAGAAAAATCACTGAGTATTTAGTAATCTGTCCCATACATTTCTCCGAAATTCTTCCTTGTTCCTGTGTGAAACTCTTAGTAATTCCAGACTTGATATAGCTCTTTAAGGTAAGTACATCAGCCAACCAACTAAGCTATCCACCAGGAGTTGCAGGAAGCAACTTACACATAATTTTAAAAAAAATTCCCAGTAAACCGTAACTTATTGAATTTCCTGAATTCTGAATTTGCAAAATACAAGCATAAATTAATCACAAGGACTGGCTGAACATATTATATAGGGCTAGAATATACTAGGCTGGTTTGCAGTTCCATGAGTTCTGTAAAGTAAACCATTTAAGTGTATAAGGAAAGCCAGTTCAAATCCCTACTTATCCTGCAAACTCTCTGTATGATACCAAGTCTTTTAATTAATTTAATAAAATTAGTTAATTTAATTCATATTTATCCCTAGCCAGGTGAGACTTTTACCTGATAATATCTCAACTGTCCCAAATTGTCTAATTCTAAAATAACATGTCTTGGATAAAACTGTGGAGGGTAAAACATACGATGAAGAGCAGGACATGTCTAATCTAACAAAGAGAAGGACTGGGGTGGGGGTGGGGGCACAATAACTGTCTTCCAGTACTTGAGGGGCTCTGACAGAGAGAAGGAGGTCAGCTATTCTCCACGGTTCCACCACAAAACCGCGGATGACAAAATCGCGGTCGACGAAAGCGCGTATGTGACGTCATCACAGCGCGACAAAAAAGATCGAAAAATGTAAAAATAAAGCGAAAACCTAACCCTAAACTTAACCCTAAACCTAACCCTTAACCTAACGAAAAACGTAACGCTAATGCTAAACGTAACGCTAACGCTCTAAACCTAACCCTAACCCTTAACCTAACCCTAACCCTAACCCTTAACCTAACCCTAACCCTAACCCTTAACCTAACCCTTACCTTTATGTGAATCGGCTTGCTGTAATTTAATTTTTATTTCAATTTTTCGATCTTTTTCGTCGCGTTGTGATGACGTCACATACGCGATTTCGTCGACCGCGTTTTTGTGGAACGCGGTTTTGACGGGTCACGATTCTCCACGGCACCTGAGGGCAGGACAAGAAGTAACAGGTGGAAACCTATCAAGGAGAGATCCAACCTAGAACTAAGGAGAAATTTCCTGACATTGAGAACAATCAGTGGAAAGGCTTACCTCTGGAAGTTGTAGGTGCTCCAACACTGGAAATTTTCAAGAAGATAGCAATTTGGATGGTATAGGGTCTCTTGCTGGAGCAGGTGGTTGGACTACGAGACTTCCAAGGTCCCTTCCAATTCTGTTTTACTGCTACTGTGTCTGTCAGGAAACCAAACCATCTGGGTGAAATGGTGGAATGCCAAGTGGGAAGAGGGGCCTAGAAAGAAATTAAATTAGATCTCTAAAGAAATTGCTTTCCTTAAGTAGCTTGAAGGGTGCTCAGGATTGTGTTCTCATTTATAATGGAAAAAGGTGAAGGGAGGATTTATTTTATTTGGCAGAAGGCGAATCACACCTCATTCTTCTGGGCTTCAAAAGTGGCTTTAACCAGGGAGGGGGAGCTTTGGGGTTTCTTTCTCACGCTTTAATAATAGTGTCCCTCTGGGTCATCTGACCAGGAAGAAGCAAGTAGCAGGTGGGGCAGCCTTATGAGCTATTGCTGTTCAAATAAGGATACTCAGGAGAATTTTTTTTTTAAAAAAAATGTTTTCCTCTGCATTTCTCCTGGCAATTTTCAAGCCTGATCTTCTATTTCTCCCACCCTATCAAATTTGGTGGCAGTTCCGTTCCTGCTTTCATAACATTATCCTGATGTGGGATGGACAGATAGACAGGATCCCAAGCCCCTTTCCAAAGTTTTGCTAGAATGGAAATAATAATAATAAATAGAGGGGAGAGAGCAAGCTCGCCTCTGTGTGCTTTCCCACAGCTGGTTCATGTGTTTTCTGGATTCCTATAATGCACTGAATTCTAAACCCAAACAAAAATCAAAATAAAACCCTGAGGCTGGGTTTGCACAGTGCAATGAGCGGCCACAAAAAATAACATCTCATTAAATTTCATCAGGGAAGTTCACTTCACTGTGGAAGTTCCTGGTTAGTTCTTCACTAATCTGTTTAGATCTGTGAATGCCTCCTGTGGCAGAACTGCCCAACACAGGAACCCCTAAATCTGGGTTAGTAAAACCCATTTGCTTCATTCATAGGCTGCCCAGATTGCCCCATGCTTCAAAACACACAAGAGACTGACACTGTGTGTGTGCGTGTGTGTGTGTTTTGTTGGGGTTGTGATCTTTTGAGTAAGTTATACTCCTAACATGAATAAGGTCACTCCATTTACTTTTAACGTGTAGAGAAACAAAAGATTGACCAAATGAAATGATCAAGCAAAGTGTTTTCCATTGTGACATCTAATTGATGCAACTTTTTGCCAAAATATCAATTGAGGAGAAAATTTGGCCATGTTAACTAGGGCAGGCTGGCTAAGAATGATGGGCTTCTTACAGTTCCACGCATCTGAATTTCTTTTTATTAAAACATGTGCTCAATGTTTTAATAAAGAAATAAATGAAATGTGAAGGAAAGCAGTAACCGCTGGAAGCTTCCTTGTCATCCTGCATATGAAAACCAGAGAAAGGGCCAGCCAAGGTCAGGCAGTAGCTCATTCGGGCTTTTGTTGATCTTGCTTATCTGTGATATTTTCCAAATTCCCTGCTATGCTGCTGGAGACAACTCTCTGTGTTGACATTCCATGCAGAGCAATGCATTCTTCATTCGAGGTGGCACAGGAGACAACTCCAGTACTTAATTAAGTGGAAGGGCTATCCCTTGTCAGAGGCATTTTGCGTAAAGAGTAGAAATATCCAGGCTGATCGCCTTATAGAGAAATTCCATGAAAAAAATCCAAACAAGCCTGGGGGGAGGACGCAGCCTTGAATCCTATACTAGTACTCAAATTGCTTTTGCTTGCACAGATTGCC